GTTTCTGTTGTTCTGGCGATTGTTTACGATTTCTCATTGTTCATCGTCCATTTCTCCCACATCGAAGATTTAGGTTGAATGAGGTCAGAGAGCCCCTAGCGTATCTTAAATAATCAAGGGCAGGAAATATTACATTGTGTGCATCCTGTGACTTTGCGAGGAAAATCGATTCGTCGCCCGAGTGTATAATATTCGTTATTTATATACTATTCTATCATCTTCTCTAACTTCATAATTTATACGTTCATTAAGTTGTCGATATTCTAGTCCTCTTCTATTTTCATAGGAAAACTACGCTTATCTGTACGCGACATTTCGATGCCGGGGGGGCGGAGGGGGAAGGAGACGACTTGGAAATTTTGCGCAATATTTCGAGATAAAGCGACTTTACTGATATCGACGTAACGCTTGAGGCAGAAATCGTGTATACGCGATATTTTTCTGACACATGGAAAATGCCGCAGCGAGGGCGATTCGGGTGCACTTTCACTCGAACGAACGTCACGCGAGATTCGTGCATTTGATTTCACCGTACGTAGTTATAGTTTCGTAGGCGCCTCGATGTCTTCCCCGACGATCGATTGACGTGTACATCTACGCGATAACACACGTTCGCGAGCAACGTGGTGGTGGAAACGTGCGGTTAAAGGGCGACGTCTGGCTCTCCTACCTTAAACGCCTGCATACAGGGTGTTTTCGACCAATAGCACTTTCCCCTCCTAATGAAAATAATTATCATGTCGGTTGTTAAAATTGTAGAGAATTTAATTCGAAAGAGATATTATTTATGTGCGAAATTCGCCTCGATAGTCGCTTTCCATTTACACCAAAACTCGGATAATTCTCACTTGTGACGTCATAACTCGGTTGAACGCACATTCCTTTTGATGTTGGCAAGTGAGATTCAACTGAGTTTTTACCGTTAATCCGAACACGCTCGAGACCGTATGCTTTAGTGAGTCTAATAGACTAATATTAAAAATGAGGTTATGAACTTTTATTTGTTTATTTCCTTTTATTCACTGACTAATGACGTCACTAATCTGAGTATAAAATACATAACTGAGTGACTCGGTATCATTTGAGTGTAAATGGAAAGCAACTTTGTTAACTTGAATTTCTTCCTCTCGGAGACACCCTGTATATCGTGCGTGTCTCTACGTCCGTTTTGCGTTGTGTAGCTTTATGCGACTCTGGGGTGCGTTGCATGTCGCGTCGTCCAGTCCGTTCGTTCAATTGCCTCTTGCCAAGAATGGAGAAAATTATTCCCCTTAATTCGACGCAATTTGAAGGAATTAAGCGATTGCAAGAGTCTTCGGAACTTCGTAACTTCTGAACCTTTCCCTTGTCCTTGTATCCGCGTGCCTTTTCAGGCTCTTCAACAAGAGCGAATCATCGGACGCGGTTACTCTGGTTCCCACGACGAAATTTTCAGGTAAAATTCTCTGGCTACCAAGGGGACAGAGAACCCACATCGCTTGATGAATCTTTTCATTCCGCTCAAATTAGTCTAATTTATTATACCGTTGAAATATATGCCTCAATGATACAGAAATCGCCTATCATCAAATCAAGTTGATTTTCCTCTCACTTTATTGTAATAAATATAAATAAATTACTTTTCCCAATCATTGTTTATTATTCGCCCTTTTCTATCGCGCAGTTACACATTATACATGTTGGATACGTCGAAACGGTTAATGACGTTACGCAGAAATTCTGCTGGTGACCGGAACGGACCGTTTTTCTCCCGTCACGATCGCTTGTATGAACTCCGGCGAACGGAAGGAGCAGAAACGACCCTAAGTACGACAAATTGTGAAAGTAATGGACGGTAATGCGGTGTCTTACAAGGTGAATGAAAGCGTCTCGCGTGACGCGCGATCGGCTCTAAATCATGTAATACACATTATCTGCGCGGTAGCCACGGCGATGGGAAACGGGTCGCGACCAGAATTTCATTATGCCATATCTCCGAGCTGCGTCGTCGATGCTGCTTTATTTTATCTTTCTGGGACGGAATATGTTTTCGCTTCGTTACGTTTAACTATCTCGCACTTGCGCTCAACGAATTTGCATTAACAGCTGATAGTGACACTTAAAAGCGAGCATTTAAAAATGATTAAATTTGCTTGTTATGTAAAATATAGATTCCAGTCAAAAATACTCCGTATAATTGTTGATGCACTCTGGTACATCACAAATGAAAAACTTCATCGAAAATATAGTAAGAGAAGAGATAAGAGCACGAACCATGATATAAAAAAGCGAATGCAAACCTAATCAATTGACTTATAAACTGCTGGATGATTTCACGAAAATGCGTTTCTTCAAAAAACTGCTGATACGGTCGCTCTGAAACATCCCTATTTTCCGGGAGGCAAAAATATATCAATTTTCTTCTCCCCCAACTCCCCCGTTCCTCAATAATTAATATACAACTATAATAACATAATTACAAACTCTATTGTATAACTTAGGTATCATATTGCGGTTACGCACTGCGGTACATTGTAAGGACTAGAGCCATATGTTAAAACGCGGAGGGATAAACGCGAAAAAGGGGAGAGTTTGCAGGGTAACTTTGTATCGCTACGCTTTTGCGCAAAGACACTCGGTATATTAATCGCGTGGCAACCCTCCTGTCAGAGCGCGAGCCGCGCCGTTTTTACGGCCATTTGAGATCGCTAATTTTAACTCGCTGGATTTTTCCAACCGCGGGCGCGAACGAATATACGGATAAGTCCGTATATTCGCGACAGGCGGGAATATTTCGCATCGACAGACAGAATTTAATAGAATCGGGGCTTAATCCGACGCGCCGCGACTGCTTTCGCGCGACTGGTGTTCGCTTACACCTGTCAATAAACCGCGGAATAGAATCATCGTATTGTATTTCTCCACTCGTTACGTTGGATTCAATGCAACGTCCTTTGCCGGGACGCGTTCGCGGTTGCGCGAATTGCAATAAATGATGCGTAAGTCGCGCGATTTCCACGCATTGCAGCCTCGCCCGACACGTATTATTGAACGCAAAAAATGTACGCGATCCACGTGACGTGTCAATATGACGTACCAGATTCAATCACTGTTATCGTGCTCGCGATGTTGATTGTTAATTACACGCGCCACGGTTATATTACACTTCGACAGTATCGAGGAATTTAATCTCTTATATCATTGTTCCGTAAGAATCCCATGAAATTCGATTGTTCGGAAAGAGCAGCGGTCGATACGTCTAGTCGTCGTTACGTAAATCGCTCGAACTTCTGTTTTTTGCGGTGTATCGTTCTCGACCGCAATTTCCTTCGTTACGGTTATCGGCAAAACACGGGCTATCTTATACACGCAATAGCTGCAACGCATCTAAGTATGTGTGGTAAATTGAAAAGCTGAAACCATTAGTCACATGCTACAAATGACTCACATTGTCTTAATATGTATTAGAAGTATTACTGATGTCCTATTGTTTATATATCTCTTTTGCTTCATAATTATTCCTATACAGCACAGACTATTGTTGTTACATTGCAGAAATATTTTAGATGCGTAACAAAGAAAGAAAAAATAACGTTTCATGAAATATAATAAAAAAAATTAACGCGATAAGGGATTGCGTGGGCGTTTGCGATACGTTCGCCGACCTTGGATAAAATTTCAGCGAGTCCACGATGATTCATCATATGGTACTATATACTCGGGACTCCAGGAAATTACGTGGTGTATCGCGAGAGTTGATAACAATTTACGACATATCTTGCGGCTAAGTGCAACGGAACCTACATGTTGGCAGTCTGTCGAAAGTAAAATATTTCTTTCAATCAAGCCAACAAACTATACTAACCGAAAGTTACGAATGCGTTGTAACATCGATAAGTTTACGCGAAAAAAATACAATATTCAATGAACAAATATATACATAACACATATTCTCTTTCTTTATTGTAGACATTCTATTATTAAATTTATTAAAAATATTTGCAAATAATTGTAAAATTATTTATTTAAAAGAATTGTTAAAAATATTTACTAAGAGTTTATTAATTGAAAGAATTTAATATTATGAAGAATATATAAAAATTATATGCTTATTAAATTATATATTTCACTTATTCTAAAACTATATAATTTATTTTTTTTATTATATATTATTAATATAATAAAATTTATATATTTTTCTTATCAATATAATAAATTTATATAATATTATATAATTTATTTTTCTTATTATATCAATGTAATAAATTTATAAATTTTTCGTGAATATAATTATAAGAGAATGAAATAATGTGTCGATACACGCATCGTTTTGACAAAATTCTTGGATAATTTTCGCCGAAATGCACGAATATTTCATCGGAGATACCGATAGTAAATATTTCCACGATGCGATGAGTAACGTCGCGACGCTGCCGTTGTGCGTTGCGTGCGACGCCAGGCATCGGTCTAGGCGTCGCGGCGCCTTCGCCTCTTTGTACCCTCCTGTCATGGGGACGAAGGTAACTGCCACGTGTATTTATATGCGAACCGCGAACAAACTCGTTGTTAGGTGAAATGGTTCCATTTCAACCCTCTTCGCCTCTTCTTTTCCCCACGTTTTAGATGTGCGCATGTCACGCGTATGACGTACGTAAATCATGGGATTTTATAATTCAGACTCTCCCGGGATTTTTTTTTTATTATCGAGACGTGTTTCGCAGAAAACGAGCACACCCTTTGTTTCGTGACATTAAGATTGAAACGAAATTCTTGACTATGACAGTGAGAAGGATAATAATTTTCAGAGAATTTAGTAAAATATTGTCCCCTCTTTATGTTGAGCTAATAATGAATAATGGTTATTGGATAAAATAAATGACAGGAATAAATAAGTCTTGATTGGATTAATTTCTGACATCTCAATTCTACTGTTACATTCTGTGGCTTAAAATAAAATTTTTTATGGATATTACCTTTATCTGCTATTAATCGTAATTTAATAAAATTTCTTTCATCTTTAGCGGACTGAACTTCCAAGATTTGATGGCTAGGCAAGGCGCGATTGATTCGCCCCCAAAAACTCCGTTTATCATGGGCTCGGAGTGCGCGGGTGACATTGAACAAGTCGGCGAGGGAGTCGAGAACTTCAAAGTGAGTATAAGCACGAAACTTTTAACGAATCTGATTTGGAGTAGCACGAAGCTTAAATCGTATACAAGTTTGTGTCTCCAAATCCTACGTGTATTCGGAATTTTGTTACAAAATGTATCGAATTATATGCGATTGCATCGTGTGAATAGTCACTAATTACTCTGCCTCTATTCTCTCTTTGAAATCTCGTTGAAATCCAGAGAAGATTAATGCAAACAATGTCGAATATTATTGATAATTTTGCGAAGTACACATCATGGAAATAGATTCATCTGCGTAAGCAACATGTAGACGGAAATATACATAACTGAATTATACAAGGCGCAAGCTTCTCCTTCGATTTGATTAAGCAAAATCTCCTCTATGGGCTTAATAGAAACTAGAAGCTCAATCTAGTGAACGCTATCTATATAGTAACGCACTAATCCAATTCAGTTGGATGATGGAGCTATCTTGCGTATTAAAATAGTGGTCCTGTATCGATTTTCAGCTTTGACATTTGGCTACGTGTTTTCAAAGCTCTCGAAATATATACAATATAGTGCCATAAATAAAACGGGAGGCTACCTTTTTTCTCGCCATGATGATTTTTTGATGTCAGAAAAACACACGCAAAAATCCTCATGTATCTTGATAAAGTATCCTGAGATTATATAAGGATCTTATCATATTTAACATGTTCGTGATGAATCGAGTCTCCTGGAGTAGATCCGCGGAATTTCTTTACAGCGGACTTTAGGGCGTCGCCGTATGAAATAGCTTGTACACTTAGGGTGGTCTATTTTCGTGACTCGCAAAAGTCTTTTCGAGGTCAGAAGAAGGTAGGCAGAGAAGCAAGCTCTCCAGGCGCTTAGGGTCAGATATCCGACCAGCATGTGTGAAACTGACTGCCTTGCTTCGCCAGAAAGAGGAAGAGAGGAGAAAGCGTACGGATCGGAAGTAATAGCAGTTTGCTCCTGCCTCTGTTTGCTAAAACGGATGTGTTATAGCGAGAAGCATAATTCGGTAAAGCAGCTCACGAAGAAGGAGACGAAGTGTAAAAAATTCACTACATCCTTTTTATCCAATCATCCAAGACTCGTAAGAGTAATCCTGAAAATATAATATTATGCACACATTCTATATAAAAAAATAAAAGTATTAATTTATTAAACTTTAAACAGGATTTTGTGTTTTTTAGAAAGGACAAGACATTTCGTTCCCTAAGTTCGACCCTAAAAATGTGCTTTCAAATCAAGAATAAAACCTTTGATTTACAGCACACGGTATAAGTGCTGTTTTGACACTGTCGAGAAAATAATGGTTTTTTTTTAACAGGTGGGTGATAGAGTGGTCGCCCTTCCCGATCACAAAGCGTGGGCGGAGCTAGTAACCGTTCCAGCAACGTCCGTTTTCGCGCTACCACCCGGAATGAGCTACCTTGACGCGGCCGCCATCACCATGAACTATACCGTGGCTTATATTCTGCTCTTCGAACTGGCCCATCTCACGCCCGGCAAGAGCTTGCTGCTTCACAGCGCCGGCGGCGGTGTGGTAAGACGACGAATTTTTCTCTCACATTTGTATTTATATCATGGATGCAAAGAAGAAAGGAGAAAACGAGGAGAAAGGGAAGAAGAAAGAAGCGCGAAATCGCTGTCTCTCTTTCAAGATACGGGGGGAGGGATGATGAATTGTATTTTTTAATTACACTCTCCGCTCAATCCTATCCTTAATCATGAAGGATTCAATATGCTTATGGATGTATCGTAATTATTACGTTCGATCTTTTGTTTTTAATTCTTCTCTTTCTTTTCTTCCTCTTCACAAATGCCTCGGTTGCAGTACTAATGATAAAGTTGTTATGCTCAATTGTGTATAGGATTTTTTTAATCATACTTTCTCTTTAAAATTCTCTGTAATCATTATCATAAAGATTCTACTCGTTTCAAGATCTCGTAATTATATATTACATTGAACCATAAAAATGGATCGAGCATTTCAACAACATTTATTAATAGCTCTGTTTCTTATACTAAGTACACGATTTATTATTAACTCCGTGTATATTTTTAACTCTCTATTTACTTGTATAATTTATTGTGCGCGTGATTGTATTAAGGTTTATGGCACAATGCAGGCGCGATAATAATGTCGAATTCCACATGATTTATCGTTAAACAGCAACAGTTAAACAGCGTGTATACGTATGAAATTATGCCTTTAACGCACAAAAGTGTTTAGCCAACAATAACGCGACTCTGCGAAGAGATGGTTTCGCGAGTTTGGACAGCTTTACCACGGTGCATACCGTGTGTGCATAAACGAGTTAATGTCTCGCGCATAGACATTTGGCTCGTAAACGTGAATAGCTCATATCTTTACGAAGCGTGTTTACGTTACTCGGAACATACTACAAATCCAATAAGTAGCGTATTACGGCCGCATCTATATCGCCGAGAAGCAAGCGACATTAACATTATTGCTAGAATCGTTTTATGGAAAAAACGTTTGTATGCGAAAGATGCGGCACTTATGACATTTTTTTTATATCCTTTACGCTACATTTTACGAGGATATAACAGAGGATATTTTTTTTTAACTATTATGACGATCGGATATCAAGCAAATTCATCATTAAAGACCTAAATTCTATGCGATAAATATTACAAATTCCTTTTTCTCTCCCCCTTCGAGTTACCAAAATGAGATTTGCCAAGCTTTATTTACTCACATTCTGTAGACCAATTTAAATCCCCTCCGCGGGGTGCGAATGTTGAAATTTCATATAAGCCATGGTAGTTGGATAGCTGTTGGTGCGAATCGAGGGGCGGCTGCGGAGGGGATCGAGAAGGTTAAAGTACCAAGGAGATATTTCCGGGTTCTTTGGCCACGCGGGGTGGTTTCTCTCTCGACGGCGAACGAGGAGAGGTAGAAGAAGAAAAAGAAGAACCGTCGGGATCAATACGGCTCAACAGGTTACACCCGAAACCAACTACGGCTGGCGGCAAACCACCCCCTCCCTCCCTCCCTCTCCCCGCCGGCCGCTTTGCGCCCCCTTTCCCAGACGGTTGAGACGGAAGGCGAAATCTACGGGGGATGCGGGACGCAGATCGCACGGGGGTGTGAGGGTTGCCAGGCAACCTTTCGCTCTCTCATCGACCACCGTCATGGACCGCGCCCGTCTGAGACCATACCACCACCATCACCACCACCACCATCACCATCACCATCACCGGCACATCACCACCACGTGGCGCGATTTTAAGCTGTTTTCACACCGTGTCGGTATCGTGTGCCACGTGTACAACCGGTGACAGCCCGATCAATGAATGCCCTGCTATGGTGTTACGGAAGAACTTGAAGAATTTAATTAAAGATGACTTCCGCAACGATCCTAACTCCATTCCGAATGTCTCGCAAAGGTGTTTTCTTGCCACGTGTAAGATGTAATTATGTGCTACGGAAAGAAGAAAACTATCTTAAATCCAAATACGCGTGAGATATACTTGAGAGATTTCCTACGCCATTGTATCCACTTTTTTTGTTCATAATGAGTTAGAATGAGATATCATATTATTGATAGACATTAGTTTTTTATCCTCTTTAATATCTTAACTTTCTTATAACATTTATTTCTTCTATAATTTTATGTTACACTGAAAAAAAAGGATTGGTTATAATAATCCAAATTTGACAAATATCACCCACTGCGAAATAGTTTTAATTAAACTTATTAAAACGTGATTAAGACGAAATAATTTAGTTAATGTAATATTTAGTGGATTCAACTAAATGTAAAATATGCTTTTGTAAAATGTTTATAACTATTACTAAATATTTTGTTATTATGAGAAAAATTAAATATTTCAAAAAATGCATCACTAAATGCATCTCACAGAAATCTTAGAAATTTTTTTCAGTGTAGATAATGCGATGAGAAGAGAAAGTATTTTACATTTCGAATTTAGAGCCAAAATTTAACTACGAGTCTTAACTCTGCTTTTTTATTTTAGTCATACTTTATTGCACTGGTGGTAGGCACTTAAAGGAGGAAAAGGCGAAATAAAAGAAACGCAATACAAACGCATAAAAAGACTGGGCTTCATATGTTGCTCATAAATCCGGCTATAATTTTGTGATGTTATTAAAAAAATTAATGGTCGACGCGCTTTGACTGTTTTTTCGTCTCTCTAGTGCTAGTAATAAAAGACAAAGGATCAGTTAAACAAGGATTAAAGTGGCTATTGAAAATCTTAATAATTGTTCGTTCATGTTATTAAATAATACCGAATGATAATTAATAATTATTTTTATAAAATGAATACATGTTTTCTAAATATTTTTCTATGGTACACTTGGTGTATTCATCTTCTCCAGGTACATCTGAAAGCTTTCTCGAATGTATCGGGCGCACTTTGTTCATAAAGAAAACTGAAAAGACGACAGAAAGAAAGAGATATGACGCGATCCATTTGAAAGATTCACGAGAAGAGGGAAAGTTCTCCCGACGTGATCAGAAAGCGGTATTTTTCAAGAGTCGAGTGCTCTCTTTTTAACGGGGAGCTTTTCTGCTCTACGTGACTGGCTTCCCGGGCTAATGCGCGTAGAATCACACGTAAATGTGTCCGCGTTTTCGCGCTATCGCATTTCTTTAGGCTATACCCATTGTTGTCGGGGAGTATGAATTATAACTCCTACGCTATATACGTCGTCCTTATCTTTACATCAAGGGAAGGATGAACGAGGAGTGATGGGTGATTTGTTCTTCATCGCGCATCAGTTAATATTAATTAAATCATTGTCTGCGAGAGAGGAAAAAAATTTCTGCTTTGTGAAGCATCGTTAGTGAAGCTTCTATATAATCATTATAAATTCGGTAAACAAATACTCGCAAAGTAAAACGGAAATCTTCGAGAGAGAGGGGGGGGAGGGAGGGAGGGAGGAGACATCCCAGCAAACACCAAATAACAATTATATAACTATTAGTTATAATTTTTCACTCAACAATATAACTGTTACATGTTATGCAACAGTTATATAACAATTATATAACACGTAACAGTTATATTGTTGAATGGGAAATTACAACTAACAATTATGTAAATGTTATTTGATGTTTACTGAGATGATATAATTGTATTGAAGAATTAAAATACGTCTCTCTAGTTTGCATAATTTTTACGTGCGCATCTCTCTCGTGATACGTGCATACATAATTTGTTGCGGTTACTTAAGGATTCTGGATCCTCTGTTCTGCCTTTATATCACTCTCCCTCTTTTTCTGCATCTCTCTTTTTTTTATCTCATTTATACTCTTCTTGGAGCACGAAGCTCTCGGCATCGGTCGCCGGGTATCGAATTCTCGACAAGGGGTGGAGAGGAATGAAAAGCAACGAGCGCGCGATTCTCGGAAATAATGTATGCCGCTTCTGTTGAAAATCTCGGGCGGCTGCGCTTCTTTTTTCTCCTCTCTTAATCCCGTCTCATCCTTTCTCAAGTTATACTTCTACGAGTGAACGCGCCCAACACGAGCCCAGCGCGGGTAACTGTATTTTCTCAACAAAAAGTAGCTTGCATTGCGAAAAGAAGACAGAAGAAGAAAGATGGGAGGGATTGGAGTGTGCCTTTTAGCATACTTTGTAGCGAGATGTCAAAGACGAGCGGGAACATATGCGTTACTTCTTTAACGCTGCTTCGCGAATGTCTCTTGATTTTTTATATTAAATTTTAATATATTACACGTCGATGAGGGATATTATTTTTATTCCATTTAGGGTCAAGCGGTGGTTCAACTTGCGAAAACCGTGAAGGATGTAACTATCTTTGGCGTCTGCAGCAAATCCAAGCACGAAGCTCTCAAAAATGCCGGAACTATCGACCATCTTTTGGAACGCGGCACAGATTATAGCAACGAAGTCAGAAAGTAAGATATCGATACGATTGCATGGCCTTTATATTTTTCAAAAAAATTTAATTTTAATTTTATAATCAATATATAATATCAAATGTTACGCTTTTGCTATACGTATTTCTGATTGTTCAGAATCTCCCCGGAAGGCGTAGATATTGTCTTAGACTGTCTGTGCGGCGAAGAATGTAATAAGGGCTACGCCCTCTTGAAACCGATGGGCAAGTACATTCTTTATGGATCCAGCAATGTCGTCACCGGGGAAACTAAGAGCTTCTTTTCCGCAGCGCGATCAGTACGTAATTTGACATTACAGGTTTCTCTAAATGATAAAATTTATTCGAATAAAAAATATATCATATTGAACAACATTCCGTAACATTTTATAAATTTTGTTGTGTTCTTGAACGATTCATCTCTTCAATGTTTTTTTTATAATGTCTCTTTAATTTATTTTATTTTTCCGTCATTTTTACGGATTTGTTTAATTGTTTAGTGGTGGCAAGTCGATAAAGTATCGCCTATAAAGCTATTTGATGAGAACAAGACATTGTCTGGATTGAATCTACGCCACTTAATGTACCAACACGGCAGTCACGCGTTCGTTCGACGAGCAGTGAATCAAGTGTATACACTGTGGAGCGAGGGCAAGATCAAGCCAGTGGTGGACTCAACATGGGCGCTGGAGGATGTACCCGAGGCTATGCAAAAAATGCACGATCGCAAGAACATCGGTAAGATCGTGCTGGATCCGAGTCTGGAGCCGAAGCCCAAACCAGCTACGCCGGCTAAAGGCAAAGCGAAAGACAAGAAGGCCGCAAATCAGGAGGAGAAGAAGGCGTCTAGCGTAGAGTCGGAAGAGGGAGAGAAGAAGAAGGAGCCCGAATTAACAAACGGTACCTCAGAAGACAAATCTGATAGCGGTAAGAAAATAAGTAAATTTTAAGTAATAAATAATAGAATTTTAAGTAATTTTTAGAAACACAAAATTATATCAGACATGTTATTTCGAATTCTATAAATATTAAATTAAACCCAATAAGTCTGAAGATTCGCCCGTATTTTTTGTTTCAGATTCTAAAGAAAAGGAATCTAGCTGAATTAGCGGAAACTAAGGCGAAAAATTGATATCCGTAAACGTCAAGAATTTTCCAAAAAATACTATTGCCCGAAAGAACGAGAAATTAAGTTCGTTTTAAATATGTAACGAGCGATATCGCGCAAAGTTTACATGCAGATGATCGATAACGAATTATATCATGCGACTTAATATAATGGATGAAAATTAATCTTCGAAAAACTATTAAAATATGGAATATGAAAAATTTCAATTTAGTAATCAATCGCTTGTACTAAGTTGTCACATATTACTCTCTTATGTCTAAGAATCACCATTTTCAACGCTCATCATCTGCACGTAAATATCCTTCTTTACATTTGCGCCGAGATTAAGAATTCATGCGAATTATGAAAAGGGAGGAGAATCAACCAGCATATTATAAAAACAAGAAAAGCAACCAAATAGAAATAACAATCTTGATGCGGTCCACAGTAGTTTACAGAATATAAGAACGTTATGTTTATTTTTTCACATCGACTAAATGGTTAATTTTGCGAGGAGTTAAGTAAACGACTATTGGATATCACGTAGTCATTAGGCAGCTTGATTCTTTTTTATTACCGCTATTATTTTAGGAAATGGATGTAACTACCTTTCCGTACTTATTAAACAATCGAGCTCATAAAGACGATGTAGATCATAAAGACGAACAGCAGTTTAATAACTGTGTGTTATCCAACAGCTATCTACTTGGCTCTGTTTATCTGTATCGAATACTATCGCTGCTACAGTATATATACTAACATTCTCTCTTATACTAATATAATATTACCTCTATTTGTAATTTATAATGGGATAAAATAACATATTGCGCTAACGTCGCATTTTCGTAAAGAAAAGCTAAAAATGCAGAACTGCATTACTTTCGTATATAAATTTTACGTATTACAAAGATATTTTTACGCCACTTTATTATTCATCGTGATCCTTTTGTCACGATGAAAGATCCTTTGAAATTTTAACGATAGCCATGAAAGTCAAGAGTAATATTTAGTACACTACATATACCGGGCATTTAGCCAAGATTTGGATGCTCTTTTTTCATACGTTTTCATACTTCATATAGTTTTTATGTAAAATTAGTTATAGACTTTTCCTATGTGTAAAAATTGAGAAGTAGAAGAAATTGAAATATTAAAATATAACTATCAAACAGCTTATTATAATCGATATTTTTCAAATCAAAATTATAACTCTTTTTTTTCGAATCACATGCATTAATCTTTGCAACGATATATCAACGAACTTTCAAAATATTTCGATTAAATTTTTGAAATCCGAAATGTAATACAAAATTAAATAAAAATTGATCTGTGTTAATGTTTGTCATATGCTAAAAATGATGGATAGTCGGAGATTTGATATCTAATCTCTCTCTCTCTCTCTTTCTCTCTCTCTCTCTCTCTCTCTCTGAATATAAGAGAATTGATATATAACATAAATTAATTAACTAAAAATGTAATTAGACTGATTAATTATGGCTTGAAACTATAAGCCTAATAGAGATATTATTCGGCACATAAGTGCTTTGAGAATTATTTTAACGAATGTTGGCGTACTATTATTTCTCCTCATGACTTTCGAATCAGTTTTAACAAAATATAATGTACATGCTCGCATAATATAACATCTCATCGTTTTTATTCAGATGTGCGAACCAATGATGTACTTTAAAAGCTCCTTTAAATAACTTTATTGTTTAAATGAAATTTTATAAACATATTTAATGACGTTGCATCAACATGTACATGAAGAGTAATTTAATGAATTAGCATCATAGAATATATCGCTTTTCTTACGAGAAGGAACGACAGTCAAAAAAAAAAAAAAATACGCAAGGCCTCATTTTCTATTATCACGTACTCGCGTGAATACATAATTGTGTCGCTTAAGACGCCGAATGCGTGACTGCAATCCGATAAATTATGTTACATCCGCATTGCGGTCTTTCTTCAACTTTCGAACCTTCGAATGATATTTTTGCGACGGTCGTGATATATTGTTGGCCGTTCTACGTGTGCAAAAAATAGCGAACGTGTTATTGACGGCGATCCGTGTTGAGCGAGAAGATTTTCATAATAATATAAATGAAAGATTAAAGATCCTCGCGAGTCTGTCTATAGAGGAGGTGAGATAAAGGAAAAAAAAAAAATTTCGAGGGCGTGTCCTCTCGATGGAATGCGGCTCAGTGAAGAATCTGACCGATGCAGAACAAAGTGTGCATATCTCTCCGGAACGTTGGAACAATTTTGGTGTAGCCGATTTCGTTAGGATTTGATACTAGCTCTGTATACTGATATCTATATTATACAAATCATTATGCGAGAAGAAAAAGACAAGACGCGCGGACGAGAGGAAAGGTATGTGTTGAGGATATCCCGCGCGCGAATCTCGTCAGAAATTGTCAGAGAAGCGCGCGAAAGAGCCAAGAATTACTGCCGTATCGAGTCTCTCGGTCCAAAAAAAGTACATAATAATATCTTACTCATCAAGAAAATATATCGATCTGAAAAGAAAAAGACAAAAAAAGCGCGAAAAAATGCAAAAAACATGATAAATGTGGCTGCATATTTTGAGACATCTTTTAAACACGTAAGAGATACACTTAATCCGACACGAAAACACGACACACGCCCACACACGAGATACGATGACATACATCATACTGTATATTTTATTGTAAGGCTTTAAATGTTTCATCAAATAACTCTATTATATTATAATATATCTATATATATTTGTATCAATCGTTTCCTCCTGCCCTGATTCTTTAGGTCCGAAGCACGAATGTCAGAACAATAAGTCTGGGATGTGCGAGTGTTATACATGAGATTAGATGCGAGAGCTTTAAATCTAGAGAGCGTACGCGAAAATCGACAGGCTATTTTTTATAATTAGTAATTTTCCCAACAATCAAATCTCGTACGAAATTGTGTTTTCGCACATATTTTATATCATTTTATTTATATTTTAAATATCATGCTTCATGCAACACCTGTACAGCTAACAGTGTATTTTTATTTTATGTATTCTCAATTTTTTTCTTTTCGAAACATGCTTTGCGTGAGTAGTTATTTTTAATGCCTAGCATGAGAATTAAGATTGATTTGTGATTATTAACATACTTAAGAGAGGCCGCCGCACTCCAGAAAAATTTACACAAATCAGACTTGCACAAAAATGATGAAATTTTATGCTACCGTTATTTTATGCTCGCGTTAAATATCGTCAAATCAAAATGCAACTGTGAAGTGCTACTATAATTTTAGAAAAATGTTCGAATGAACAAAAATTGCGCGGATATTACGATGTTATGTCGCTTTTATCTCTGTAATTGCTACATATATATATACATATATGATTGAATTTCTAAACATTTTATAAAAATGCATATCTAACGGCTACATCATTCGACCGGGCCGCTTTTAAATTTTAAGAGTCGACTGAATTTAAACAATTTAAACTGCGAGACAATCTACGCAACCGAAACATGTTCGATAATTATGAACGAAATGTATAATTTCATGCCAGCACGCAAGAATCATTTAGTAGTAATAATTCGATTTATATCTAGAACGAATCCTTGAAACAAATTGCGCATACTTTAGAAATGATTGTCAAGAATGACAAGATGGAAATTGTTCGCAATCATCAAAAAGGGGTACGCGGCGGAGGAATCCGTTTCCGAAGCTTGACAAAACAATTTTTTGATATTTGAAGAATACTTTTAAAGGCTCGTCTCAAAGAGCTACGTAATCATTCCGTTGGCGCGATAGAGAGCGAGGATGAGAGGATATTGAGCACGCGTGCGTCTCTTATTAGTTATGCGAACCCGTATCGTTAGAAAGCAGGACCTACAATTTTGCGAACGTGATACATTATGATTGTGTAAAATTGTAAAATTTGTCGAGGGGTCCGGGCGAAAGCAACGACCGCTTTTTCCCCCACCGTCGAGATTCTTGATCGCGATTTAACTGCGAAGAAGCTCACGGGAAAAGGGAAAAACCTTTGCCTGCTCCCCGTCAAGCTTGATATAGATTGTATTTTTGGCTTATTATTGTAAGACTGACTATGTTGCTATATTAAAGATTGCTTCGAAAACACAGGGTGAAACTTGATTGCATCTGCTTCTTCCTTCTGTATCCTACAACCCAGCAAACACCAAGTAACATTTATATAATTGTTAGTTGTAATTTCCCACTTAACAATATAACTGTTACATGTTATGTAACTGTTACATAACATGTAACAGTTATATTGAGTGGAAATTATAACTGTTATATTAATATAATCTCCTATTTTTTTCCTAGAAGAGAATAGAACTTTTCATTCGAAATCAAGATAATAAGATACATTAAACATTATATATATATATGAAATAATATTTTTTATTCTTTATATTTGTATAAAGGTTATAAAACTTAAAAATATGTATTCCATATGTATTAAATGTGTTGATTTCGCTAATAATAAAAAAAGATCGTGTTAGATCATACGAACAAAGATCACTTTGCGATGATTAGTGTTAATAAAGTACTTATTTTATCTGAAGCAGACTTGTTTTTCTTGGACGGTATCTCGAGGAGTTACGCAAGCACGAATGCATTTTAAGGATCATATTTATAATCTGTATTACGTTGCGTGTAAAAAATAATTTTTGCAAAAATCTGTCGTTTGTGAATTGTGATAATCGTATTTAAAGTTCAAGGCAAACCCTTAAAACATCGGTGGTGCGTAACTGATTAATTATAGCTTAAGCTTCTATATATATATCTTGTAAGTCATATACATATTTATATAATGTGCTATGTTATTAAAATATATCTTTAACGTTTTTTTTTAACAGACACATATCTTCTATACACATAATGTATTCTCTTGAGGCACTAATCGGGACGGCATCAAATCTGTTGATCCACGCAAGTATATATATATATTTGCGTGGATCAGGTTTATATATATATATATATATATATATATATATATATATATATATATATAAACAGGATGGTATCATCATAATTTACTCGATTTTTTATCGAGTTGGAATATTTGTCTCCTATTCTACTATTTACACATTTTACCGAATCATATATTCGAGTCTTGTGTTGCCTCTTTGAATGATTCTTTTTTTTATATATATTCATTTTTTATATATATTCAAAATTTGATGTAATATATAAAATAAGTAGTTTTTAATAATCAGAATATTTTTAACGAGCATTAACGAGCATTACGAAGGCACGATCTACAAATAATATATAATTCCATAAATGGTATAAATAAAATAAGAAATATCAAAGGAATGAAGATGAAAACTATCGAATGAAAAAAATTTAGTGGAAAGCATTTTACACAGCTTATTAAAAATCCGAAAAATTAGTATATAATATATCCTCTTTGATATACTCTTTTAATTACTACGAACACTTTTGCTGTTATTATTTTGGTAATAATAGTTAATAGCATAGCTAACGAAGATCGCTGGCTAGCACTATTACGCTTGATTTGTACTTGAGATGCTTTGCCTCCAAGAGTACAATGCCCTAACCATGTAAAAAACAACTTTATGCATTCTAAAAAAACACAGGACGGATAATATAATATTTATAAAGTTAATAATAATCGAATTTGAATAATACATAATAAATTGCTTAGGCAAAACGCCCAAAATTGCTCTCAATCAATATGTTCCGAAATGATTACTTTCAACAATACAATGTTCTTATATCATGATGCAATGAAAGTTTGTGCGTTTTGTATCAAAAAGTATATTATGCTTTTTGCTTATTGCAAAAAATCTCCTCGGATAAATAATAAGATTAATTGTTCTTATTTAAATTGATAACAATTTTTTAAAATATTAATCTACAAATATAAAAGCGTATAAAGTAAAAAAAAATTTTGATATATGTCTTACATAAATTACATAGCAAGAAAAAAGATCTTCAATATTAATATGTCGTATATAAAAATAGTTAGAATTATCAAAAATAATTTCATTAAATAGAGGAATAAAACTTATAGCATGATCATTTCAATGATGATTCGCGTAATTACACGAGATAATTAATTACATTATTGATTGTTTATGCGGAAATAATAACTTGTCTTCTGTTTGACTCGCACATATTATTTGTATCATTTTTATAAAATTATATGTTTCGATCATCGTACCGTTCCATATTTGTGCTCTGTTAGGAGAGGCAAACCATGGCAATAGAAATTGACAAGGATCAAACATTTTTATCTTTGTGTCATTGCAGTGATTGCTAGCCGTCACTGAATTGTTGCGTTCGGAAATACCTTGTTATCGTGACAACAAGTGACGCGATAAGCAGGAAACCTGCCGGTGTTGCTAAAAGTGTAGCAGCGTTGTAAATTGGGCAGTAAGGACACTGTGAACTACCGCAAACCTCGCATATATTTAAAGTATATGTTGGCAGTGCATCGAATATAGATTCGTTGAAACGTTCTAAAACAAAAAAAACAAATTAGTCATATAATACAAATAATATAATTATATAAAAAATGTAAAATAATAATAAATTTATAAATACCTGGAGAATAGTAGTCGTAAACGCGAATGGGAAGATATCGCGACATATTTGCAACAGGATACCAACGTTCCACGGTGAAATTTACGCACGTCTCTTCATAGTCCAGATAATCGAAGTAGAAAAGCACTTTTTTGTCTTGGAAACGTGCTCTCTGGAGATTTCTCACCTGTTTCGATAAGATGTATTTATCCAGAGTTTGCTGCTGGATTATGTAACCGGTTGGTATGGCTACATCCAATACAGCCATACCCGAACGCGCAGATTCATTGAGATTCGTCCATCTGCGAAGCACAGTACATTTTTATAGCAGTAAAAATAAAAATAGCAAGAGATGTTATGATTATAATTTGTAATCTCACCTTTGACAACTAAAATATGAGATGTGAGACTGATTTCTGCCGTGGAAATTCGCTCTAGTGACTAGATCGAAGGATTTAACCGGCGGTTGCGTTTGAAATCTCCATATGTCCACATTATATTGCACGTGCATCTGTAAAATAGCATAGCCCGCGCCCTTTGCTTGCACTCTCACAGTTCCCCATGCATCTCCATGCGGTATCTAAAAAATAACGTACAATTTAAACAGTAGTCTAATATATTGCAGAAAATACGAACCTTGAAATGTTACGCACCTCGATCGTTTGAAGTCTTGCCAGATTCTTATCGTTTATCGTCAACGTCTTGGTCTGTCCCGGCAAAGCGGTAGCCTCCACTGATACTGTCAGTGAACTGACATCCCTTATTCTCGATCTCACGGTGTATTCCATCAATGCCTTTATCGCCCAAACAGTATCCTGAGTAGAGGCCCATCCACCATCCGTTAATCTCTGTGCGTTCAACCACATAACAATCGGCTCTATCATAATCTCTTGTCGAGCGACGTGCACCAGCAGCGCGTATGCGGTTGTTTCTATGTTTTCAGAGTCATATTTGTAAGGTAAACGCGGCAGCAGGAAGCTTCTTTGATTTTCCGTCTTGGTTGGAGGAAGCGGCACCTGTTCTCTACCCCAGTACGTCAGCCCACCCTCTCTCCGTGCATGTCTTGCCAGAATATTGAAAGCTTGCTCGGCGGTCGAGGCTTTCGCTACCAAAAGTGCGTAAGCTACTATCGCTACCTCGTATGGCTTGCCACTTTGTTCCAGCAAGTTTAGATTTCTTTCCAACCATTTGACAGCCTTGGCCGCGCTGAGAGCCACTTGAGAACCTAAGCCGCCAGTGAGATCTTTGACGCTTTCCAGCGTGATAAGAACATGAGCAGTAAGACTGATGTTTCGATGAGCCATTAGATCATTTCTATAATTTAAGGAACTATTCATCTTTCGGTCCGGTAGCCAGGTTACTTCGTAGAACGAGCCGTTTTCCGTCTGATGTTTCAGTATCCAGGAAACCGATTGGGCTATCACCTCGGGATCGATGTACAAATAATTTTCCCATTCATAGAAGCTGGCCTCTTGGAATATCCGCGCACAGAATGCTGTTAACCAGACGCTCGGCATCGATTGGTTCCAATCAGTGCGGAAGAAACTAAAAGACCCATCGAGATTCATAAACGATAACTGTCGCTGATAACCGATATTCATGTAGTAGAAACTTTCTTTTTCTTGCGTGCGATTACGCTGATTAATCAGACGCATGTACAAGGTGTTGTACATGTTGGCGGCGAAGCTAAACATGTTCTGTTCGGCGCAATCCATTGGCAGATTCATGAGACTCGTCGCATTTACCGGCATTGTCGGAAAGATTGGCCCCACCACGTCGCCAACCAAACTGATAGTCGCTTTGTTGGATCCGAACACATAGTAACGGTTTTCATCATATGGTATGATTGGTGTCTCGGTAATGTTTACGTGCATATATTGAAGTACATAGGCTCGGTTACTAAGATCCAACAACATTGATTCATGCCGGTGCTGTGGTACTCCGTCGGCCTCAACGTACAAATTACGAGTCACCGAGTCCCTCCCGATCAGAGTACTAGCGTCGATTTGAATTTTGATATTGCCGAGTCTCACCGGTACGATGGGCAGATAAACGACGCTAGCGTCTTGTGCAGGAATCCAAATGAAGAACTGATGTTCGCCGAAGGAAGTGCGCGGCTTGTACGACTGTACAATGCCGTTCTTCTCGACATGGACGAATTTGAATTCCCTGGAGTCTGCCAATACCACCGTCGCTTCGATATTGTGGCGCATATAATTGAACACAGACACACGGATACCGATCTGTTCGCCTTGCCTGCTACGAGTTGGCATCTCTACATTTATGAAGAACGGTAGAACTCCCATATATTCCAACGCTTTGGGCAACATACCGAAGCCCATGCTAGGCGACATGCTGAACGCGGTAATCATCCAATGAACCGGTCTTCGCGGCACGTCCAGGTTGAAGATTTGCCGACCGTGTGGACCGATATTAATGTCCTTCCACAACCAGACGTTTTCGTAATGCCTCTGAATTCGATTGAAACGCCATTTGCGGAATTGCGCCAAATCGGTTGCATTTCGCTCTACGCATCGCGTCTCGTCCGTACCGTCCTCGCAGTCGAACACGCCGTCACATTTTTTCTCCAATTTATAACATCGACCAGATAGGCACTCGCCATATCCTTGAGTCTGATTGCAGAGTTCGTGTCGCCGATGTATCACAGCATCCGTGAAAACAACTAGGCCGACATAATCAAATGTACGATTGACATCGATACCGAAAGTGGATGACGGGAAGTACACGATTTCATCTGGATCGCCGTCGTGGTACTGCCAGGTGTGCAAGTAAGTGCCGTTGGTGTCTTCATCGAAGTGTGCCATTTTCGTAATCACATTTGCATACGTCAGTTCGTTCCCCGCTTGCATGGTGTAGAATGAACGATCAATACCCGACAATGCAACGTAGGCGCCGGGCTCACCATAGATGGCTACTTCGACGCGTTCGCCTGTTCTCGCCTTCTTGTTGTTGATGAATACGGTGAAGTTATTGCGCGAAATGCCGTTCACCGGGAATGTCAGTGAATCCGCCACGACTTCGCCATAGCGACCCACATAATATACCACTGCAGTTGCAACAGGAGCCATCTCAGGACTTAAAGGTATCGCAAAGGTTTTTACACTGTGTTGCATATTGTCTTCTCCGGTCAAAAGTATTGTACCTTTGGACATGATTATGTAGTTGAAAGCATCGATATGGAAATTGGTTTGTACATGAAACACCATGTATTCGCCGACTTTAGGCTTTTCAGTAGAGGTTGATATCTTGATGTGCCTCATATTTGGAGACTCATGAGCGAGCAGTAATAATTCGGTCCGCGCCTCGTGACCTTCACCGTCGGTGAAATGTGCGTAGATCCTCATAGAAGTAACATCGTTCAGAATCTGATTAGGATCGACGTTTTGCTCCAGCCCGAGTTGCTTTCTGAGATCCATCTTTACGGACCACACATCCGCGTGTTCCGGTAATGCTCTTAGATACTGGGTATCAATGTTACGACGTCCGCTTCGCATCTCGACATCTGCACGAATCTCCATTAGAGCACCATTAAGCTGCGTAGGTCGTAGTGGCGAGTTATCATGGAAGGACGCAACAAGATTCAACGAGAACGGCATCGCCGGCTTAAAGACTTGCGGACTGCCTCCAAGGAAACGAATTTTTGTAGTGGAATTGAAAATCCTCGCCACAGAATAGCCGACAATCACCTCATCCAAGAATCTTTCGCCTACTGTTGCAATTATAGTGGCTTCCATTCCATCGATGGATTGGACAAAATTAAATAATTCCCGCATAGGGTATTGGAAGTGATATGACCCGTTGAAGAACCTCAACACTGGTATTCTCTCTTCATCAGAAGTTAATGCTCTAAACCACGCCGGATAATATTCGTTGAAATTAAAATACATTTCGACTGGCTCAATCCCGGAAGAAATGCGCGTTCTGTCCAATGGTTTGAAGCTGGCTTTTAGAGTTAGATTACCTCTTACCGGTGCGCCCGAAGTATAATTCGCTTGAACGATGCCATAAATATAGGGATCATTGTCAAAGAAAAACGCTGGCATTGTAACATTCACCTCAAAACGTGTTTGATAATATTCTTCCACCAAGAATGTCTTCTCCTCTACTTGATTCTGTGCTATTATTTGTACAATCCATTCCCCAAACACAGGTTGATCGGACAATTGATATGACAACGATACTGTACCCAGATTGCTCTGCCTACTGAGCCATCTTCTCATAATTCTCCTGTTTGGATCTAACATATATACGTCCACGGGATTGTTATATGCTTTCAATTCCGTGTCTATTGGAATCGTTCTGAATCGTATAGTTTCGCCTTGCATATATACAGGCTTGTCCAACTGTATGAATATAGTCATGGAACGTTGTGAGAATATCAATTTGGTTTCGTTCAAAAAAGCTTGACCACCTTTCAAATCATTGTACATCCCTTCCACACGCAATTTATAATCACCACCTACAGATGTAGGTGGCATGCGCATCATTAGAGTTTCTGGTATGCCTTCCTTCACTTCCTGATAATCCGCCGCAATTTCCACCCCATTGCGTTGAATAGATGAACGCACTGTCATAGGTAATGGGCTGTGAAGAATGTTTACAGCAATTCTGTATACTTGATTTGGTCTAACCATGCGAGACGCAACGACGAAATATGTACTGCAAATAAATTAAGAATTATATTAAATCTTTCAGAGATATTTTATTCATGTTATATTAATTAATGTTTTATCTCAACGTGTCAAGTCCAATGTATCGAAACTTACGCTTCTTTAATTACAACATTCTCATTTTGAGGATTCCAGAATCCAAAGCCTGTATTCTGATCTCTGAAGCCTGTATTCTGATCTCTGAAGCCTGTATTCTGATCCCTGAAGCCTGTATTCTCATCGTAACGATTTCGTGGAGGAGATCTTGAAGTATATTCCGGTGATTCTTGGCTGACCTGGCCATTTCCAGAAGCCAGGAATAATAAGAGAATCCAGATCCACATTTTTGCTGAAATATAAAATATTCGTCATTCACTTATATTCCATAAGACACTCGAAAACATTATTTCGGCGATAATGCGCCATGTAATTTCGATTAAAATATTCAAACGATAACAAACGAAATTTTTGACACATACAGTCACCACGTTTAATCAGCAGTACGCGTAACTTGTTAAATTCAGTTGATCTTAATTACTTCCTATGGAAGCATCATAATTCCAGTCATTACATGCTTAATAAATAACACGGTAAAATAAATTTAAAAAAAAATGATAATAATCAACTCCCGCAGGGTTAGGTAGTGATGGTCAACGCCCAACGCATTCTTCGAATTGTGTGTCATAAGGCTCACCTTAGGATCGCGACTTCCCAATCGAGTCAATCGAGTCCAGGATATATTAGTAGATGATGCACGCGATTAGCATCACCGCGTGCGCTTACACACGAGGATATTAAAAAAAACCGTCGAGCATTGTGTAAGAATTCGCGAGCGAAAGGAGTGGCCCGTTACAAATACAAACTTGTATTTTGTCCTGTTTTGTCCATAGATTATAAGATACGTAGAGTTTACTTGCGACGAGGGGAAGTTAGTTTAGAGGTCCTCTAATAACAGGGCTGCGTTCGGAAACATCATCACTCGGATGATGTTTCCGAACGCAGCCCAGAGTGGCCAGCAAAGAGTCACTTTTGATTGGTCCGTCATTTTCAGGCAACTCCCGCTCATATTCAAATTTTAATTACTCTATTTTGAATAAAAATTATATTTATTAATAAATTATTTATCAATAAATATTATAGATAAATAGTGAAATTTTAATAATGATCTATATATATAATATTTGTTATTATAACATAATATTCATTAATTATAATAACATACATTTTATTTAAATTTAAATAAAATTTATATTAATAAATAATAATAATTAAATTATAATGATAAATTTTATTTTCTTTAAATAAAATGGAACTCTCCCTCCCCTTTCCCATATCAGCTGATGCCATCTATGTGTCTTATATGTCTATGGTTTATTACTAATGAATGAAATGCAAGACGGGCATGTTATATCGAAAAACGAACATATCGGAGAACCATTGCGTCATCTATGAGCTCGCCTGCTTTTATTTTCCTAGAAATTGAATCGAAAATGTGCGTGTCTAGGGATACGACAACGCAAATCTGACATTGATTTCGCTGTAATGCGTAATTCACTGGCGTAGCCCCTGTTATTTGAGTAATTTGAGCACTGTACGCTATTTTGAATAATATTAAAAAATCCTTTGACATGTGTCTTTTAAATCGCATTTCATATATTCTACAGTGCTATTTATTATAGTTATCTATTTATCGCTATGGATGAAACATGCGAAAAATTATTTTGCAATACACTGACGTAAGTTTGTGACTTGACAATTTGTTATTCTCTATTTAACAGCTTATTGTAAACATAATTAATTTTTTAGAGCCATTGTAGCATAATTTAAATATAATACTGTTTATGTATAAAATTATTTTATGTACATGAAAAAATTATTTTACTTTAATTTGAATTGCATTGAAGAATTTTTCAAAACAAATTAAAGAAAAAATTATTTTATTAGAGAAAGATTGATTACATAAACTGTTATATTACAACATTATAATTATTGATGCATCTTATACTTGTTAAAATTTGCATTACCAAGTTGAAATTGATATGTTCTTTATACAAATAGAGCAGAAGAACTACTACGTAGCAAAGGTATCAGGGGTAACATATTAGAAGAATTAGAAAGATCTTTGAAAGTTTTGCCCAAGAGTGGAAAGAAGCATTTTGAGCCTAATAACTCTTGGCTTCAAAATGTTCAGATTGAAAAAGGACTTAAAAATCGTAGAGATTTATTAAATATTGAAAGAGTTGAACGTATCTCGGAATTAGCCAGTGCTGAATGGATACCGTCCCAAAAGAAAGCTCTTGTTACTAAAAGATCTGGCCAAGAATGGAACAATTTTGGCTTGGAAAAAAATGGTTCCCTATATTTATTGCCAGAAGAAACATTATTTCTCATAGAGACAGTATGTTTTCTAAAATTTAATATAATTTTTGTAACTATCGAACAATTTTATGAAACTTTTATAGTACTTAATGTATTAAAAATATAATTTATTTTTGATATATTTTTGTGTATTATAGAATTGTCTTGAACTCATTTGGAACGGTGTACCATGTTCGATTCAACAAGCATATGAAATCTTGATTGATGACTCAGTATGTACTTTGGATGAATATAGAGTTTATAGTCAATTAACACGTTATGGCTATCGTATACAACGTTATTTTTATGAAGAGCCGGAAAAGTGCTATAGATCAGACGAGTTTGTTAAACGGAAAATTATTGTTGATCCTGAAAGTGGACTGAGAATATCTGATAATCAGAATCATCAAAGCATAGAAAAATCAAAAGAAACTTTGATAAAAGATATGACAAAAACATTAAATAAATCATTTGTTGATGCTAATGCAAAAGATGAAGAAAATATTATAGCAGAAGAGCCTGTAGATCAAATAGTACAAGATGTAATGGTCCATCTTTTATCTAATATAGAAGATCAGAAAAGTGTAAATAACTCGGATATATTTGAATTAATGGAAAGTGACACGACACAAGACAATATAAATATCGAAGATAAAAGTCGAAATTCTAAACCAGAAATAATTTCTGATGAAACTTTGCTAGGCAATATCAAAATCCTCAGAGATACAACATGTAACTCGAAGAAAACTGTTAAAGTATCAAAATGGCCGGGTGCTCGTATTCAACGTAATGTTAAGCAGTTGCCTAAAAGAAATGATAAAATATTATCTCCTGAGATTTCTGTAATTGATTCTGGCTTCAAAAATGAAAATTCTAAAGCGGAGAAGCGAAAATTAACGCAAATTGATGAGTTGTCGAATATGAAAAAGTCAAAGCATGAGGTATAATATTTTAATATATATGGAATTCATTGTAAGTATTATTCGCAAAATAATTTTTTTTCTTTCAATTAGGTAATTGAGTTGTCTGATGATGAGATCCAAGAATTACCACACTGTATGACAAGAATGGAAATGTTGAACTTGTTACCAAATATTGCATTTCAATCGGATATTACAGAGAAAATTCCCAGACGATATATACCACATAATATAAGACCTCAGAAGAACGCTTATCAGTATAATCGAACGAAAATTTTACACATGCAAGAAAATGACAAAAGAGCAAGACAGAATTGCAAGGATACTAGGACAAACGCGAGGCAAAATACGTCGCATTTGAGGAGTCTTGTTGCCGTCAATAATAGAAACACTTTTTTCCATAATCAACATTCACGATCGACTTTGTGCGGTCCGTCACGATCCTTCAATCCCATGCATCACATACATGGGACGAACATTGGTTTGCCTTATGCGTATAGATTTTCCTTTAATTACAGTCCAGATGTTTACGTGCAGAATAGAACGCAGAACGTATTTCACAATTTGTTTGTCGCCTTTGGAAATAACGGAAACGGCGTTCAGCAAAGTAGAAGTCTGACTATACAGATGAATAATTTCGCAATGCCATTCACACACATGGAGGGATATCGAATGAGACATTTCTTCGCGGAAAATCAATTCCATGGTTTTTATCAGAATTTTTCGTGGCAGCAGAGATTTTGTCAACGAAGAATGTTAGAGAATGCATCGATGCATAATAATATGCATCCCGTTATGAGACGATACGATGACCCCAATAGGAGCAATTATGTCGGTCATGAAATCGTTAATCGTCCTTCCTTTACCACTCGTTCAGGAGGTAGTTCATGGGTAGAACTGAAAAAAAGATGGTCTGAGGAGAAAACTATTACGATTGATGATGAAGATTGTAAAAATACGAATGAAGATGACGAAGAATGCCACGAAGTGCAAGTCATAAAGCTTATCAATCCATTGATCGGTCCGAGAAATGTGGTCTCATTGGCGGAGATCTTCAACAAACTCGCTATAATAAAACCAGCACCAGAAAGGATTGTTAGAAGGAAAAAGAACAGACATAAAATATCATACAATGTGTACTCCTGTACTCATCATTATAGAAAGGCGAATCCCGGTCAACCATTGTACAGCTTAGTAGTGATAAGGTATCTTCTATTAATGAGAAGAATGTATTTTTTGTATCACATTAATATGCAGTAATTTTCAACAAAATTGTAGGAAAGAAGACCCGTTACTCCAACCCGTCGAATTGAATCGCCTACAGCAGGATGCAAAAGGTTCTCAGATAATATTAGCATACGTGTCAATGTCGATATCGTACATTCAACCAGGTATCATAACATTGCCAAATTTAATTTGCACCTGAGTATTTCTCACTGGTTGCAATTATTTTGGAGCAAATGAGAGGCGGCGTCTATCTCCCTAATCAAAGATTGCTTTGTAAAATCCACAAATTTTATTTTATTGTAATAAATTTTTGCATACTTATAAAGATGAGAAATAAAAGATTTCTTCCTATCCTTTACTTATACTTTACAATAAATTCCTCATTGCGCATTTTTATGTATTTCTATCTAAATAAATTTGCGCAATTTTATAACACATTGGAAAAATGACTAATTATTACATCTTATGAAAGATGCCATATTATATTTTGTTTATGTTACATACGGCTGATTTTTTATATACATACACATACGCTATATATATGTATGAATATATATATATATATATATATATATTTTTTTTTTTTTCTATTAAATCTTTCATTTAATAGAAAACATATAGAGATAATACACAGATAATTAAATTCACAATAATGTTTAATAATACAATATAGGGAAAGGACATCATCCAATTTCCTCTCTTTTTCTCTTTCAAGGCGTTTGGAGCAACGTGCTATAGGTTTATCTTTGTATGCCTTTGTTTTCATGTCGCATTTCGTATGTATGTTACGATATTGGGACAACTAACAAGTAGGGATTACAAATTATCGGATTTTAAATGGCAGACTCAACGCGAAAGAAAATTCGGACTGAAGCTTTTCGTGTGGAATCCGAAAATAATGACACGGTGCAACAAAATTGTGAAAATTCAGTGGATTCGAACATCTACTTAACCTATGATATTTTGAGAATTATTTTCGGATATTTAAACGGGAGAGATTTAACAAATGCCGCAATGGTTTGCAGGTATAACGTCCATACGTTAATGATTTTGCGTTCAATTTAATCATAAATACATAAAATTAGAGAAATTTTTATTCAAAAGAATTTTAGCAAATCACACATCTTATATGTCATTTATTTTAATGTGTACATCTAAATTTATAAATTTCATACGTAAATTTATTAGCAGTTATATTTAACATCATTGTTAGATTGTAAATAAAAAGTATGTGATATAAACAGAGTGTATAGTATATAAACAAATGATACATATGAACAAATGATAGTATGAATATAATATGAATTCTATATGTTATTATTCTTTACAGGCTTTGGTTGGAGGCTGCAAACAATGAAAAAAGCATAAGAAGAAGTCCTCATTGTTTTAAAGAATATTTCATTGTTAAATCACTTGAAAATTATAAAAGATCTACAGATAATTTTAATCTAAAACATCTCAAAAACTCAAGAATTAAACCATTTTTAGGTTTTTTTTTTATTTCTGTAACTAGCACAACAATATCACATCTTATAACAGGTATATTTTATATATCTTTTTAATAAGCAAATTAATTAATTTATTGATATTTATTATTATAATGTCTATGAAGAGCATAATTTATTTAATATATTCATTATCCAGATGAATGAAGAATTTTATTAATTGTAATAAATAAAAGAAAGTTGCATTCCAAGACAAATGATAAATCATATTTTAATATATGTAATTTCTATACTTTTATGTTTTAATACTTACATATTTTATCTTGTTTATTTATTTTCATCTATAAGTCATGGAATAATATTATTGAAATTAATCTTTTATCACTTTTTACAAGAATATATCCTGAATTTACTTCCAAAAAATTGTGAGACTACAATACTATGTACTCGTAGTATTGTTAATGAAGAACAAGATTATACATCAATTCCATCAAATATAATATGTGCATTGTTGCCACAAATTTCAAATGTGAAAGTCAATATGTTTACAATATGTATGCCATATATACAAAAATCAATTTCGCAAAAAGTTGCAAAACAACAATCTGAAACATTTGAATATGAGAAGAATAAACTTTTTAATGTGATTGATGAAACATCTATGCCAAATAACAAGTCTACGTGTTTAATGTTATTCTGCAATTATTCAGGTCATGCTACAGCAGAGCATATGATCTCGGCTGTACAAAACAGGTAATTTAATTATAAATTCCTACAACAACTTTATATGTGTATATATGTATAAATAAAATTATATATAACAGATATATTATATGTGATGACATGATATTGAATAACATATATTTTTTCTTTATAGCAAAGGAGATAAAATAGCTTCTTTATGGGGTGGTGTAGTACGAAATGTATATACACAGCGTATACATAATAATGAAAAGTTCAAAAAAGCGACAAAATTTTGTGTATATAGTTCATATTGTGTAGCTGTCCTAATTACTGGTCCAATACAATCATGGTCCATAGTGGTAGACCAAAAATGCGACACAAAGGCGCTAGTTGAAAAAAAATTAAAATTATTTAAGGACCAAGTAAAGTTAAGGAAACATTCCGTGGGATTTATGTTCGCATGCATAGGTCGCACTATAGACGCTGAAAAAGAAATAGAGTCAATAATATTCAAGACACTATTTCCCAATGTACCTTTAGTTGGTTGTTTTGGTGATGGCGAGTTTGGGAAAAATACGATATCTGTTAACGAAATGAAAAAGACAAGTGAGTAATTTTCCAATTTCTTTCTCAACAAAAATATTATTTCCCGAAAACATATACAATTTTTATTTCGATTCAGAAAAAAGGAGCAAAGGAAAAAACGATTCTTGGTGTCATCAATTCTCAACCATATTTATGATACTTACGTACGATTGAAAGAAGACGACATGTGATTTTCGTGCAATTATTATTTTTTGCGTTGCTAGAATTTAACTAGATTTCTCTTTCTCTCTTCTTCCCTCCTTCTCCCTTTCCCTCTTGCAATAAATCCTTTTTTCCTATTTATGTTTATACATAAATAACAGCTCTTATATTCACAAAGTAAAAACATACAATATCACGAATATTATAGCAATAAATAGGGAGATTGTACTTTATTCTTAAATGCGTTCTGCATGTGTTTTATACGAGTTTTAAAACACTAGTTTTAAAAACCGTTGCTACCGAAGATTAAAAAAATATATGTAATAATACATATTATTAATATATGTTCATATAAACACATTTTGTATTTTATTTTATTCATACTACATACATTTTTTTTAATTTTGTTGTTACTACGTTTTCTGATACTCATGCTATGAACGATTATACTAGATCACGCATATTATCCGAGACGGATGATCATCATATAATTTGCTTTTTTTAAAGCACACGTATCAGAAAATGCAAATGTAAATAATCCAAATGATATCGAGTTGTTACTTTTTTACATTTATAATAGCATTTAATAGCATTTATAATATTACCGGTTAAAACTAACCGGTTTTTAAACCGCTGATTTAGCGCTGCGCGATATGCGTGCTTGAAGTGGTGTGTGCAATTTGGTAATCTGCACCCTTTTGAATACAATTATAATCTCCAAAGTCGCTTGACAGTACTTCCGCGCTCGCGATATAACTGTAGAGATAAAAACTGAAGAAACTAGGCCAAGCGAGAGGGTATATACTGTCATTTTATCATGATGCTACCAGAATTTAAAGAGGAGTCTTCAACCCCGTGGCATCGACGATTTAATTACCACGATCGGTTCGCACAACTTGTGATCATAAACAACTTTATATAAAATGTTATTAAATCTATTATCGAGACAAATTATTGTTCTCATTACACTGTGGTATTCTTCTGCGTACTCGCAACGATGGGAAAGCGGTTTACGCCAAAGATACGACGGCTACGGAGAGGATTGGATATTCATGCCTGATGGCAATGGGCAACCCCAAGTAGCTGTATTAAAAGTAGAAGATGGCGAAAGGAGTGGCGTATTGGATGGATCGGAGATAGCTTATATAATTTATACTCGGTATCTGATTATAATTTATATAATACTTAACAATAAACTCGCTGTTTACGTCGCACTATTTTATACTTGTTTTATTAGTCGTTCATTCGATTTAGCTTCATATTTTTTTCTTTTCAAGTTCCAATCCAAAAGAAGGCACGCGAGTGACTCTAAATGATACCACGAATCTCGCTAATTCCGATTTTAAGCCCTCGCGAAAAACAAAGTTCATAACACACGGTTGGAAATCAAGCGCCATGAGCACTGGGCTTTTGAAGATGAAAGAAGGTATTATTTATTTCTTTGATTGCTTTACGAGTTATATCCCAATGCATCCAACGAATAGTGTACTTGTTGACAATTTGCGTTTTGAATAGCTTTCCTCACTCATGGTGATTATAATGTTATCCTCGTGGATTGGGAACCCTTGGCTGCGAGCACATTTTACTTGGGACCAATGCAGAATACTGTAAGAGTCGGAACTGATGCTGCAAATTTCATAGATTTTTTAATGAAAGAAACTGGATTAAAAACGGAGAACGTTCACTTTATCGGTATATCATCTTGTGTAACATAATGATAATGCTTTATAATTACACTTGTGTTACTTTGTGTTCGTCATTGATCCATGTAAGGCCATTCTCTTGGTGCACACGTGGCTGGGAACGCGGGTGGTGCGACTATTGCTGGGAAATTAAGCAGAGTAACGGGCTTAGATCCAGCGATGCCGGGATTCCATATGCTTACTTCTGAAAAAACTCGATTGGATTCTACTGACGCGGTATTTGTCGATATCATACATTCCTGTGGAGGTGTATTAGGCTTTCTTCAACCTCTAGGAAAGGTAGATTTTTATCCGAATGCTGGTACGGCGGTTCAACCTGGATGTTGCTGCGTTCCCGAAATAATGGGTAACAAATTTTTCTTGTTATTAGACTAGAGTCTTGTAACAAAAATATCACTCGTATTTCTATTTATTCTAGAGGCATGCAGTCATGGACGATCATATGAATATTTCACGGAAAGTATCAATTCGAAAACGGGATTTTCAGCGACAAAATGCGATAACTGGGATTCGTACATGAACGGTAAATGCGCCAATTCGCAAGTGACGTTCATGGGAGAGCATGTCGATCAGACAGCCGAGGGTTTATTTTTTCTCAGAACGAGATCGAGTCCACCTTTCGCGTACATGCCGAAAATAATCGATAACAAAGTGTAAATAGAAACGATATATGTACAAATAATTGTAATTCCTTAAAATGCATACACATTTTAAAATAATTCATGTTATCTTACACAAGTTGATGATGATAGTAAGAACAGCAAATATAAAATATTGGGCTTTAATAAATAATATAATTACATTATTTTACATATGACTGAGATATAATAAACGTAGCGACAAACAAATTTCTAAAACAAATTTCTGAATATTGTAACATACCCTCGCCTCCAAAGAAAGACTTGTAAAATTTCGCATCAATTGTATCATACTCAGCACCTATACTACTTTATAATAATCAAGAAACGAGCAGCACCAAAAAATACAGGAATGGCTTAATATTAAATCGGTTTATAAAGCAAAGTAGTAACATACTTTTTACGATAACGATGAGTAGCTGATAAGACCATCACACTATCCTTAATACTTAAAGCATAAAGATGATTTAGCATAACATGATTTGGTTCAGGTAGAAGAGTAGGCTCACACTGAAAAAAATTATAAGCACAATGGTAGAGATTGTTTTATTAAAAAGTTTGTGTTAAAAAGTTTCCAAAGTACTTCTTTTTTAATCCAACTTACAGATAGCGGTGTGTCCTTGTTAAGGATAACTTGTAACAAGTGCGGAGGCAAAATAGGTGGACCAGTTACTTTCTCCCAATGTTTATGTGGTGGTATTTCTTGCCCATACTCTGTTTGAGTGCTACTACTAACGCCCTCGCTATCTTTTGCAAGAGCTTGAAATACTTCAAAGTCAGATTTTCTTACAGAGACTAAGTTGTTTTTAGAACCCATGCCATTGTCTACGATTTTCTATATATCAATAATTTTTTGCATTTTTAGTGCTGTACATAATATAATAATATATATATATATATATATATATATATATATATATATATAAAGTTATTAAATCCACAAATGCTCACCAGTCCAGGATCATGCCTCCATTCTCCATCAACAAAAAATTTGTATTGATGCTCTCCTTCTGGTAAGTCAATTATTGTGACAAAATCCCCATGGCTTTTCACCATTGGCAATGTTTTCCATCCAGTAAATGTCCCGCTAATATATACTTGCTTCCCTCCTCCCTCCCATTTGAAAACTGTCGGTAGCACCTTATTGTCTGCAACTTTTGTTCCTTCAGAAACAGTGTTTGATCTTGGTCGCTGCGAACCAAAATCCTCTCTATCTTGTTGGCCGCTCTGTTTATACAAAGATTGTGTATATATAGTATTTATACATGTGTGTATAAGTATGATACATAAATTAATTTTTCTTCGTGTTACTTTTGCAAAATATGACTCTTCTTCCTCTTGAGAAGAATGAAAGAGAAGACTAGGTTTTTTGTCAAATACAAATGCTTGGCCTTCCTTTCCTGGAGAGGGTGGAGGATGATCTTTGTTACGTCGATGTTCTCTGCTTGCTACATTTCCATGATGATGGCTGACGGGTTGGCTGCTTCCCGCATTACCCATTATTATATCTAAAGGCTTAACAAATACACAAAGATAAATCTAATTTTACACTTTCCATTTTATTCAAAATTTCAAAAAGCAAAAGAGTACTAGGTAGTAATATCATATGAATATAGAAAGATAAATTTATATAGGTTATTTACAGTAGTTACAATATTGTCCTTTTCTGTGAAAAAATATATGTCTAATATAAATTTAAATATTATCTAATATGAAATATTATTTAATCTGTTAATAAATATATATAAACTCTATTATATATAAATACATACATATATGTAATTGGGAATATCAGCACAAGCGTTCTGCGAAACATTACTCACTCGTTTGCAATAATCTTTTTAGTTGCTTGATATACGCATCAATGACGAACGACAAATCGAATATGTAAACATTCGCTGGCAATGTTAAAATTAGATTAAACGCAATTTCAATGTAAATTTCGATGCGATTCTACTTCTACAAATATTTAGATCTCGCATGCTCACGTTTGAAAATCATTCACGAAAACAAAACAATAGAACTGATTGCGAATAAAGTATTTTGATTGTAGTTGTATACAGTGCACATTTCTCACTCTCTCTCTCTCTCTCTCTCTTCCTCTCTCTCTCTCACTTTCTCTCTTGTCGCATAATTTTGTCCCCGGTCAAATCGTTATCAAATATCGATATTGTAGGATTTTCGATGGAAAGATGTAGAAAACATCGATATCTTAAATCGGTAAAGTCGGTTTCAATAAATTGCCCATCGGTTGAGAAGGTCATATCTTTGACTTATTAAAAGTGCGTCGAATACATCATTAAAGTATGCATATATAAAAGAGAATATTTTCCAATAATAAATTAATTAATATGATAATATCGCGTTAATGAAGAATAAAGAAAAAATATTAATTATTGCTTGCAATTCAAATTTGGCGCACATGCGCAGATGCCATATGTGTTTCGCGCCACATCCGAACGATGTCGTCAATGATCCTTGAGATTTTCTCGCTTTTTACATCGTCGCAAACACGTCTTGCGTCCAAACGAATATTAATAGTATTAAATTAGTGCCGTACGATCATTATTTCACGTTATTCCGCGACTGTAGCCGCGTGAATCGCGTCGGGAATGCTTGTCGTGTCCGCTGAAGTGAATCTCTCAAGCCCGAGAAAGGTACTGCGCATGCGCAGACGCCATGTTCGTTTCGCGCCGCGTCTTGTCTCATCGCACTCGTCAATCGCTCCGAGTTTTCCCGTTTTTTATATTGTCGGAAGCGGGTCTCGAGTTCAAACGAGTATCGGGAGTGTCGAATAAATGTCGCGCGATCATTGTTTGATGTTAATTCGGCGATCGCAGTCATGTATCATCGTAAATCGCATCGCGAATGATCGTCGTGTTTGCCAAAACGAATCTCAAGGTTGAGAAATGTCGTTGTCCTTTTCGCGTCGTTCGCGATAGTTCGTAATAGTTCTGACATAACATGACGTAAATTGAAGTGAATTTACGATTGCGAATGAATAAAATGCCGGGTGTGCCGAATAAAATCTCACACACCACAGACATTGCAGTAATATTGCAATAATATTGCAATAATATTGCAGTAATACTGCTGCAATGTTACAAATTAATAATATTGCTGCAATATTCTGTACTGTATGGGATACTGAACCATCGTGATCGTGTCATTTCGTGTTTGTGCTTGTGATAAATAGTCATCTATTGCATCGACACTTGTACCGATCAAGTATTCTCTTCGAGGAACAGGCAGTCGCAGTGGTCACCGCTAGATGGCAGATGGTGCGACGAGATGCAGAGCTGCAGGCGGTTGGTAAGTAAATTCATTTCACGTGCTTATATATATTACCTCGTTACATCGCAGAAAATGAAACACTTCCATTTTTCGGTTCTCAAGAACGATATAGACATAGATTAAAATATGTAAAATTTCCCATCAGATTAAAACGACGATGTATTTCATTCATGTATCATGCCACGTTTGCATTATCAGAGCAAAGCGTCAGTTATAAAAAAAAAATTCTGCGTTGTAACAATTAATTAAAAATTACAACATAGTTTTTATATTAATTCGTTTCGGAAAAAATTATCGCTTACATTTTCTTATTCTTTTATTTTAAAGAATTATATTAAATGGGATTGAATTGTCTGCATTTCATTGTAAAATTATCGAAACGCGCTTTTTAGCTCGTAAAAGATGTTGTTTATGCTAAAATTACGGTAAACATACTGGCCGTCAGATCCTTCTTCATCGCGCATTTTTACTTTCCCTCTTCCCTTTCACACGCTCAATTTCATCTCCCCCTCGTCTCCTTCCCGGTCGTCAATTTTTTTTTCGCCGTTTCCTACGCGAATTTATTATTTATAAAGCCGAAAGTACCTCGGGCGTGTTTCGTCCTTCGTAGCCTTCGGCGACTACGAGGATGCTTATATCGTGGCTCTATTGCTCTCCTCGCGGCCGCGAGGATTGATCAGAGGGGTTGGACCGCGAGTAAAAACGTGCCCCGTGTATTAAATATCCTGCAATAACAGTAATTACGGTTACGGTATTTTACAAAATTGCGCAGCTACTTATATTCGCTACCGCGGCCTGTGGCCAGGCCAAATGCACGTGATCTTCATATATATATATATATATACACTGAAAAAAATCGTTTCATTGATACCAACAAGACGTATATGATAAAAGGCATTTTGGTTAAACCAAGCCAAATTTCTAGTTATCACTCGTTAAGACTCGATTTTTTATAACTAGAATACTTAATAGACTTTGTTATGAGGATTTGAGTTAATATTTTCTAGTTCTATATTAACTAAACATGGGCACAATGATGCCATTTTTTAAAAATTTTATTATCAAGAAAATTGGTCAATTTAACAGGAAGAAATTAATCATACTCATCTGGTAGTTTCTAAAGCAATTCTGATTCGTCCATTTTCTAACAGACATATTTACCAGATTTCTGCAACTAGATTTTTTTTCAGTGTATATATTACTACTTAATATTATTCAATTTTGAAACGAATCAGGCACTCGAGAGATTCTCGAATTTCAAATATAACTGCAATATTTATTTTATTTTCTCGATAATCGCAATCGCAATTTAATAAATAAAAGCGACCTCGCTGTAAAAGTATTCCTGTCTGCAACTTTCATATATATTTATAGTTAAATCTTACAAAAAATATATTGAAACATGTAATATTAAATTGCAATCGTGCAATTGCAAGCCGCAATTATAAATTGCGTTAATTATGTAATTCAAATCATCGTAAAAAAATACGAAAATATCGTATCTATTTTTTTCGATGCAATTATTTAAGATGTAAAATGCTTTAACCCAGTTGACAAAGCGGTAGATGCTTTTTGCTCAATAACGATAAATCACTGATTTTTTCACTTATCAAGATAACATGGATTTTATTTTCGCACAACATGCGGTATATATTGATTATTAAATGTATTCCTTATTTAGTGATGCTGATTAGATTAATGTAAAAGGCTGGAATTATCTAAAGTGGGAACATCTGTTCGTAGTTTGTGACAATTGGCGCGATATACTCTATTAATTTTTATCTCGATTCTCGACATATTTGAAAATTGTTAAAAGACCCCGAAGATTTGGCGTGGCGTTGTGTTAAAAAGACGCGACAATGATACACGCGATGTACATTATTAATTATTAGGATTAATCACATTGATTTCACACTAGAGGATAATCTGCAAAATTTTGAATTAAAAAAATTCAACGATATAATCATATCAAATTCTAAGACTTTTTCAAGTTAAGCCTAGTAGTAACATTATTAGCATCGTCTCTTGTTCACGTGCATTTTTTGTATCAGACTTGGCTAATGTTTTTATTTGTTGCGTTTAAGAAAGAGTTATTATTATCATTATTATATAAATTACAAAAAAATACCCTAAGAAATTAAATTGGCCTTTATTCACTTTCGATGTATTTTAATTATACATTATAAAACCAATCGACTTCGTCATATATCGACTGACGGAAGATCGTAAATTCGTAACGGGTCTCAAAAGTCGTCTAAGCCAGATGTCGAGCGTTCGAGATAAAAAAAAAAAGAAAAAAAAGGAGAAAAAATGCCAAAGAGCGCATTCGAGGAGGGAAAAAAGGAGGACCAAAAGACGGGGGAGGTGGCGGGGGAAAAGGATCGGTGAGAGGCGGTGTGTGCATGCGCTTAATCGATAATCACCGGCAAGTGGTTTCGTCCGAAAAGGGTGCGGTATACGATACATCTGCGGAGGTATCATCAGCGCCGCGTACAAAAGGCCGATCCATCATCGGGCCCGACAATCCAAATTCAAAATTGGCCGGTCAGTTCCCGGCGGTCGCGCGTGCAATTACAATGGAGATTAAGAACAATCCAAACAATCTCCACGTCAGAGTAGCGTGGCAATTCGAAGACACGAAAACGTCTCGAGATGAAAAGCGTCTCTCGCGAGCGATTGCGATTTATTTTATTTTTTTACTTATCGCGGAGGATATTGTAACGCGTGTAGCGTGCAATGCGCAGGAGATGCCGTGTCGTAATATCGCCTTTGCAGTGGCGCACGCGATTTTCTGCTTACGCTTGCTGAAATATCAATGTAAGCTGTTCATTGAGCGCGCGGTATGTCAGATTGTCCGCTCCTGATAGAAGAGTAGCCTTCGCAATTCGAGCGTTAATAGTAGGTATAGTATCGGCGCAACGTGTTTCAACATCTCGTTAGACTTTCGGATTAATAAGGCTTCCGCGACTAAGAGAACCGATGGCGCTTTTTCTCCGCAGGTTATAATTACGAGCGATTTGAACATTTTATCGTACTTTAATAATTCAATCGTGAATAATGGCGGACGGAAACGCGGCGGACAGTAGGGCTTACTTATTACTAAGTATGTTAAAAACTTTTAAACGTTACATACGGTTTCTTCTGTGCGCGCATTAATATGTAACAGCGGGTAAAATGTGTAAACTAAAATTAGCACTGGTCGCCGCGAATCTCGTTCTTGGAAATATAAATAATACATGTGTATGATGGAGTAAAATCTCTTTCTCTAAAATTTGCATCGTTTCATGCTGCGTTTCGCGCTGTCGCATATGTTTTCCCCCCCGAACTCTTCTATAAACTATGCCCGAATAGTATAAAAAGGAGGACCTTTTTTTTTCACTATACGGCTGGAGCGGGACGCGCGAAAACGGAGCGCGAAAGCGCGGGGCGGGAAGAGGGAGGTGGGAAAGGATTACGGTGCGTCAACGGCGATGACTGAACGAGCCGTAATCGCTGTGCCGATCTAATATTTCGAATAGTTCGCATTTACAATGGGCTTTATTGGCGGGAAAACTGCGAGGGGGTATTTTGAGCAGGCGGGACATCCATCACGGGGTGTCAACGCGATTGTCTTCCGCGGCGTTTGCCACGGGAAAGTATTGACGTCGATCTCGCGCAACCGCCGAAAATGCCATCGTCGCTCGGGAATGGATAAATGTCGTTAAAGTAATTAAAATCGGTTGCCGGTTGTACCGCGATCTCGAATAACGACCGAGTTTCCCCGTTGGCCGCGCGATGCGACGATATCGATTCGCG